AGATACATAGAATAAGTTCTTAAGTTCTTGCAACTATCTGAAGTTGCACCTTCTGGTGTGACATTTTGACATCATCTTTCTTAAACAGCAAGCAAAAGGATAATCAATTAAATACACGCTAAAGCCACAAATAGCAATTGATTTTAAATCTCAATTCTGTATTCTTCAGTCACCAAATATCATTAGACTCCCCTTTACCTAGAGAATCCTGATGATGATTACAATGTTGAGACATTAGGATTAACATCCATGACTCAACTTGCTTCTTGATACACAACCTCTTGACAATTCAGTGTTCTCTTTGGTGTTCAAACTAGGAAAACCATATCCTCCTAAATCTTCCAAAAACCTCTTCACTAGATGAGCCCTCTACAATTGTTCAGTCCTTACAGGCTCCTATTTCTTAAGGTTGACACCCCTGCTTACTCTAGCTACAAGATCAGGAATAAGACATCCAACACAACCTAGGAAGAAATCTTCAAAGCATAAATATTTCCTTAGAAGACCATCTTCAGATAAACCAGTAATATCCTTGGATAATCATGACCACTTTCCAAGAGTTAGAAACCTCATGTAGTTGCTATTGAGATCACTATGGAAAATTTCTCCACAAAAATCCAATGTTTTCACACTCATAAGAATGTTTTGACATTCATCAGCTTTTACTCCAGTTCCAGCCTAATTGAATGTCAGTACAATTGTACTGACATTTGAATAACCTTACCGTTCCTTCTTTTCTATTCCAGAATAGACTGCCTTCTAATAATTTTGATAGGGAATCCTCAAACATAGACAACCTCTTATAGGGTTGGGAGCAAAAATAAATTGCTCTTGTCTTTCTTCAATGGTATGACATTCTCATGTTACACTTCTTAAATAAGTACCCGTGGATCTTCTTCTTGACCATCTTCTCTACTGAACTCTATTTATCAAACACATTCAGAAGTGCCTTTATGAGTGGACTTGAGAGAAAACTCAAGTATCTTTGGTTACTTTAAACGTGACATGGAGTGTTTACCAAATCCATAGATCATGAATTTGATAAACAAAATCTCAAATCAACCATTTTCCTCCTATTACCCTTCATGGTACTAGGTTGAAACTATCTCCCAAGCAACATAGAAAGATCCTTCAGTGGAAGGCAGATCACAATGCTCTCTCCTTTATATTACTCCCAGCTAGTGATGACTTGAACATTTATAGATGCTGACACCATCTTCAATAAGCGCCAGGTAAGATGTCAAAATATCTTATAAGGCATCATGCATAACAATAACATCATTATCAGCAGTGACGGTAGAATCTTCACAGAAGTATCAGTCAACCATCAGTAGTTGTCAGGATGGATTCAAAAAGCTATCATCTTAGCTACCAATCCCCTTGAGCACAATAGTAATGGCTAGTTTGATTATATAATCTTCTTCCTTGTTCAAAATACTAGAAAGTATTTTCCCTAGAACTCATCCAGAAGCATAACGGGATGCCTGCTCTGATACCAATTGAAATTCTACTATACAGATAATATATGTCCCAATAAATGTTGATATACTGATCTCTGCTTTACTAAACAAGGACAGAACAAGAACATTTTGATATCTCAAAGTCATAACGGTGTCATGACAGATGTTTCAACATCTATTAAGACATATATTTTAGAGCATAAGAATAAACTGAATTATACATAGCAAAATGATAAATAACACCAAGATATGATGACTCAGTTTGGTGTACAATAACACCTACATCTGGAGGCTACCAAGCTAGGAATAAATTCACGATCAGTAGTATTAATTCTAAGTATACAGCCTCCGGTAACTTATCACTTAACTCCCTACCTAGTGCAACTTCTACCTAAAAACTCATATAAATAAGAGAAACCCATCTCAATTCCTAAATCGCTTCAGTGATATCTAACAGTCATAACCTCTGGTGACTGTATCAAACTGTTCAATTGAAAGACAACATTTTCAACACAGTATTCAGTCAATACTCTTGACTAACACTAATACTTGAATTTTCTTAAAAGCTTCATCCAAGAACAATATACAATTCATTACCTACAGGTTTCTGAATATGAAAAACTATGTCTACCACAATGTATCAAACCGATATGGTGACTTACAATACAAGAAAAACACACGACTCTCAAAATCCTAAACCCTTATTTTTGCTTTACAAAAATCTTAACAAGGACTAGTGATTTGTCCTAAGTCTTGGTCTTCCTTTTATAATCTTCAGTTGCCCACAGGCTTCGAAATCTCTGTCCAATCCTTGATCCATGTTCTGATTGCGCCTTAAATCTTGGAACAGATCTACACGAAACCTGTTGTATCAGACCAAGATGTTGAGTCCTCAAGATAGGACATCTTGTCCGACATGTTGTTCTTTACAGATTTCTTCATATTAAAACATTTTGTTCAACATCATATTTTACCAAAATTTAATCAAATCTTAGACCCTTCAATTATTTAATAAAAATGATCATATAAATTATTAAATTTATTTTAGAATTAAATTTTGATATTAAATGGCTTGCCTTATAAATTAAATGGCTTGCCACAAACACACAAGCTCACCATCCAAACATGTCAAACACCCAACCACAACACTAAGAGCGTCCCCCATACCATATCCAACAAAATGACTATTATTAGGATACCCAAAATGCATATGCCCACAACACGACATCAAGATATAACCAAAACGCTCAAACATCATACCATAGCCATAATGCCCAAACATCTTTCCATAGTCAAAACGCTCAAGCATCACAACATACCATACACACACAAACATCACAACAATCTTATGCCTTTCAAACACCAATACCATTTCAACCTTTCACCAGCGAAGCCTTCACGCCAATGTCCCCGTTCAATAGTCCAGGCCGCACACCAATGACCCCTCCATCACATCTGAACTACTCTTGCATGGGTCGCGAGCTCAGTTTCAACATACAAGACTTCTTGAAAATACAAGAAATTTTTAAGGATTCTACTGGGAATGTTCCTGAGACCTCAACTCCTAAAACACCTGGAGTGAATCAACAACGAGTGAGGGTGCCTAGGGGATGTGGAACCGGTGGCCAGTATGATCAACCCAGTCGTCAACATTAATTTATTTAATATTATTTTTAATTAAATATTAATGTTACTTATTTATGTTTAAAAAATTGCACTTTTCACCCTGTCTCCAATTAAATTGGCGACATCCTTTAAGACTTTACATTGTGGTGCCAATTGAATTGACAACATGTGGTATCTCCAATCCAATTGACGACAACTTTTTGCCTATCTAAAGGGTCACCGATTAGTATGCCGCCTTCACTCAATCAGTACCTCAAAGTGGAGTACTTTGAAAAATAATTTAAAAAATGAGTTATTTAAAAAAAATTAAAAAACTGAAATATTTGTGTAATAATAATAATAATAATAATAATAATAATAATAATAATAATAATAATAATAATAATAATAATAATAATAAGGATTCCAAATAGTTAAGAATTTCAAATAAGGAAAATATGTTATATTTAGTTCACTCAATACACACAATATTCTTTAAAAAGTCTGATTATTTTTCTTTTCAGGACATTGAATACACATATATTTAAAAAATATATATATTTTCAATCTCTTAAATAATGTCCAACTTACTATTTTAATCTCTTAACCAATGCCCTGAAGGCATTCGTTAGCATTTCCCTAATAATAAAGTCCTTATCTAATAAACTGTGAAAAGTTCTTAGCTTTATATTAAAAGTTCTTATCTAAAAAACTGTGAAAAGAAAAGCTATTATTAAAGTCCTTATTAAAAGTTCTTATCTAAAAAACTGTGAAAAGAAAAGCTATTATTAAAGTCCTTATAGTGGACCTCACTTCACTTGCATTTTCTCCTCTTCATCTTGATCTTGAAGCTTTCATAAGAATTTTGCAGCTACAACAAACCTATAATATGATATTAACCCTACATGTATGGAAATGAATCACATGTATTATGAAAACATGTAGTAAGTAGGAGAAATGGAAGTCCTTAACAACTTATATTTTCCAAACAAACAAAAATCACTTGAGATCTTACTAAATAATGAAGACTTAGTCACAAAGCATTTGTGTACTTTTGTTTGTTCACTCATAACCCAACTATGATAGCAATTTTTTTCTTAGCAATGAATACAACTTTAAAATGAAAACTTTGTGGCCAAGCATTCATATGCTCTATAATTCCAATAAACTACTATATGGTTGAAAAATTTTCCTTTATTGTGAAAAAAAATGATAATAACCAATCATATTTTACTATAGTAAAAACCAATAGATTATCAAAATGAAACGTGTCAGCCGTTGGATCCAACAACTAGTACTACATGTTGCATTCTTACTAGAAAAGAAAAACATACTATAAAATTGAAAGACAATAAAAATTTGAACAACATAAATTTTCTTAAACTCCAAAATCTATCCTGAAAAAACATCATGGATTTTGTGACTTTGTTCTTGCCTTTTTTCCTTGTGAAGCTTGTTCTGAAATTAAAGTATCCCAATTCCATGATTACAAGTCGTCTCTTCCAAGCAACATTCCACTACTCCCGTCCCTAATCCATTTCTCTTCAACTTTTTTTTTTTCCTTTCTCACTCTCTTTCTTCTCACACTCACTTCTATACTCATTTCCATTCTTCTACCACACTTCTTCTATGTAAATATATATACACATGCAAATCCTAGATTTTTGAAACATGGGAACACTCAAATTACATAAGAAAATTTCCCTTTTTTGAAAAACCATTTTGGAATAATGGGTATGAGGAATTTTCATTTTTGAATCATTCGTACGAAAAAAGTTTCAATTTTGATTCATGGGTGTGAAAAAAGTTTCAATTTTGATTCTTGGGTATGAAAAAGTTTCAATTTTGAATTCTGGGTATGAATAAATTTTCGATTTTGAATCATGGGTATAAAGAAAGTTTCAATTTTGAGTTGTGGGTATTGAATCTTAAGCCATGACAGGGTTAACAGTGAAACCCCCACCTCAAATGCAATCATTTGGAATTTTCCTCCGTGAGCCACCGCAAAATGAGGTCACCAACGGCGAAAACCACCGGGACCCATCACTGGTGACGAAGAAAACAATCAAAAAGACACTGATCATGGATGAATCATCGCTAGAAAACCCTGATTTGGGTCCATTTCTACTGAAGATGGCACGAGATACCATAGCTTCTGGTGAGAATCCAGGTAAGGCTTTGGATTATGCAATTCGGGCATCCAAATCCTTTGAACGGGTTTCGGGTCCGGGTTTGGATCTTGCCACGTGTCTACATGTTGTGGCTGCGATTTATTGTAGTTTGGGGAAGTTGGATGAGGCTATTGAGGAATTGGAACGGTCAATTCTGTTGTTGGATGTTGAAAATGGGTCGGGTCATGGTATGGTGAAATTTTCTGGGTATATGCAACTTGGTGATACTTATTCTATGACTGGACGGTTGGATAGATCCATTTTGTGTTATGAGTCGGGTTTGAAGATCCAAATGGGTATTTTGGGTAAGTCCGACCCGAGAGTTGCAGAAACTTGCAGGTAAATTTAACACTTTTATACAATATAGTACAATGTAATGTATGTTTATGTAGTGACTTTTTTTATGTTTGTTGATCAATTCTTTGCACCTTTTGGATTTGGTGCCACTTAAATGTATGAACTTCATGCTCTATATGACCCACATCTCTGAAAATATGTATGTCCCTATACGTGTCAGTGTGACACCGATACTTGTATTACGTTCAATTTATTCATTTTTTCAGATGATTATTGGTGTTAATGTGTCAGTGTCCTCTGTGTACGTGTTTCAGAGACTGCGTATTTATTAGTTAGCTATTTGCTTGGATTAGGACATTCATGTGCTAAGGTGCTGAAATATTTTCTGACTAATTGGTTACCATGAATGGCAGATACTTAGCTGAAGCTCATGTTCAAGCCATGCAATTCGACGATGCGGAGCACTTCTGCAAGAAGACACTTGAAATTCATAAGGAGCATTGCTCACCCGCTTCACTCACCGAAGCAGCTGACAGGCGTCTCATGGCCCTTATCTGCGAAGCAAAGGGAGATTATGAATCAGCACTCGAGCATCTTGTCCTAGCCAGCATGTCCATGATTGCTAACGGACAAGATAACGAGGTTGCAGCTATTGACGTTAGCATCGGGGATATTTACTCGTCGCTGTGTCGTTTTGACGAAGCCGTTTTCTCCTATCAGAAAGCACTGACAGTGTTCAAATCCACCAAGGGTGAAAGTCACATTTCTGTTGCCTTAGTGTTCATTCGTCTCGCCGATCTTTACTTCAAGACCGGAAAATTAAGAGAGTCGACGTCTTATTGTGAAAACGCGTTGAGAATATATAGTAAGCCCTTGCCTGGAATAACCGCCGGAGAGATTGCGAGTGGCTTGACCGAAATCTCGGCAATCTACGAAGCTCTAAACGAACCCGAGGACGCGTTGAAGCTCTTGCAGAAGGCGGTGAAACTATTAGACGGTATCCCCGGACAATATAGGACAGTGGCGGGAATAGAAGCTCAAATGGGAGTACTGTTCTACATGGTCGGGCGGCATGTAGAAGCTTGGAAATCTTTTGATAACGCCGTCATCAAACTGAGAGCCGGCGGGGAGAGAAAATCTGCGTTTTTCGGATTTGTGTTGAACCAGATGGGTTTGGTATGTGTTCAACTCTATAAAATAGAAGAAGCTGCTACACATTTTGAAGAAGCTAGAGAGATATTAGAGAGGGAATGTGGAAACTATCACTTGGACACTCTTGGAGTGTATAGCAACCTAGCTGCGACTTATGATGCATTAGGAAGGTAAAAACGTTACACAGTTATCAATGTTATCGATTAAATGATCTCGACTATTATTTTAGATTGGTATATCGAGATTGGTAATAATTCTGTTTGATATTATTTTGTTATAGAGTTGAAGATGCGATTCAAATATTGGAATACATACTGAAAATGCGAGAAGAAAAACTTGGAACTGCGAATCCAGATGTTGATGAAGAAAAGAAAAGACTGTTTGAGCTATTGAAAGAAGCGGGAAGAGTTCGAAGTAGAAAGGGAAAATCTCTCGAAAACCTTATCGATTCAAACTCGTTGAAGATGAAGAAGGAAGGAAGAAGAAGATGGGGTGCATTTAGTTTTAGAACTTAAGAGATGGCTTTGTTCTTGCAACAAAAAATTGTTTCTTTTGTTTTGCATCTGTGAGAATTTGTGAGGGTTTTAGTTTGAAGATGTTTCCTTCTTCCTCATATATATTTTAATATAATGGCAGTTTCATATAGTTTTCTGTCAAGTGGTTCTTTTTCTTTCTTTTTCATCATACATATTTTAACATAGCCAGTTTCATAGAAGGAAAAGATTACAACCGTAGTGCACCTGACCAAAGAAAAAACTAAGCAAAACACAGAAGCTAGAGTAAAACTATAACATAAAAACTCTTAACAGCAAGTAACAAGCTAAATCCTTGGAGACTAACAACAATGACCTCTTAAATACTTGGAGCTCACGGAATCCCTCCCCCCTCCTCTCTGAGATCAACCTTCCCCACAAGTTGCCTTATGTATATTTTTGAGTTATTATTCATATTTCAATAGATCAACCTAAATCCCTATTTTTTAAGGCTTAACTATGGTTTTGGTGCTCGTAAGTTAGTGAGTTTTTGCGTTTAGTCTCTAAATCTTTTTTTTTTTTCAGGTTCGAGTCTTTATATTTCATAGTTGTGTTGATTTTCGTCTATGACATTAGTAGTCTGTTAAAAAAATGTTAAGTTGGCTAACAGTGTTGACCTGGAATGACATTTTATTTTTAATATTTTATAGACGTGGCTAATGACTTATATCAACAAAATATTCAGAACAACATTTTGGTATCAATCCTTATAAACTAGGGTTTTCCATATTTGGGAGGAGAAGTGTGGTGACCATTGGAGAACGGTGGAGGCGAAGGTGAGACGACAACCACGACGGTGCCATTTTGGCTGACAATCTCATTTGTGGTATCTAGCATTTATCTTTCATTATTGTTTTGTTCTTACTCTGCATTTATCTCTGTTCTGTTAGTTGATAGTGATGAGGTATAATACAATGGTTTTTGATGCTGATGCTAATGAGGTATATTAATATGATGGTGGTGTTCAAGTAATGATGTAGGTGGTGTTCAAGTTAATGAAGCTAGTGATGTTTAAGGTAATGAAGCTAGTGATGTTTATGATGTTCAAGGTAATGTTGAGGATAGTGACTTTGAATTTGATGGTTTTTCATTTGGTGATAGTGAAGATGAGAAGGCGCTTGTCATGGATGATTGCTTTGATGTTAATGAAGAACAAGATACTCCAAAGAAAAGGGTCAAAGTTGCAGCAAGGAAGCACAAGGATAGTCTAAAGAAAAGGTCAAAGTTGCAGCAAGAAAGCACAAAGATACTCCAAAGAAAGTTGCAGAAAGGGCTTCACAACATCTTGCATGCCTTTCATTGGGGTTGATGGATGTAATCTCAAGACTAAGCATGAAGGGACTCTTCTAATTGCAATTGGTAGAGATCCCATAGCTTATGTTATGTTTATATAATTCTAAGACAAAACTAGGTATGTTTATGTTTATATAATTGCAATTAGTGGATGTCTTTTTTCTTACTCATTGTGTATTTTGCAACCTTATGCCTTTTGGATTTTTAAAATTATGACACAATTAGGTATGCCTTTTAGCATTATATTCTGTTTTTTCCTTTATGTACTAAAGAATTATGCAAACTACAAATACAACCTACTAACATAAGTAAGAAACAAGAAGTTATGATTATGTTTTGTTTGTGTAATTCAACAACAAGTTATGACTTATGTTCTGTTTGTGTAATTCAACAACAAGTTATGCTTATGTTCTGTTTATGTAATTCAACAACAACTTATGCTTATGTTCTGTTTGTGTAATTCAACAACAAGTTATGCTTATGTTCTATTTTCGTAATTCAACAACAAGTTATGCAAAATTACAAATACAACCTACTAACATAAGTAAAGAATTATGACTTATGTTCTGTTTGTTTGTGTAATTCAACAACAAGTTATGCAAACTACAAATACAACTTAATAACATAAGTAAAGAATTATGGCTTATGTTCTGTTTGTGTAATTCACCCTCAAGTTATGGTTTATGTTCTGTTTGTGTAATTCAACAACAAGTTATGCAAAACTACAAATACAACCTACTAACATAAGTAAAGAATTATATCTTATGTTTTGTTTGTGTAATTCAACAAGTTATGCTTTTGAGACAATTTATGTTATCTTTATGTAATTCTAAGACATTATTTTGCAACCTTATGCAGTTTGACTTTATGAAATTTTGACACAACTAAGTATGCCTTTTAGAAAAATTACAAATACAACCCACTAAGATAAGTATGAGAAATAGGGACATTAAGATTAAGGGATGACATACAAAAAACAGAGTATGAAACAGGGACAAAATACAAAATGCCAAAATATTTAAGGGACAAAATTCTTAATTAATTAATCAATACATAGATGAAATTCAACAAATAGTCATCTTATAGGGAGTAAGCCATAAAAAAGTTATAGACGCCATGAACATGAAACTCACTACCATTTCTGGTAAGCAAAGAACAAGACCCATGGCAAAATCAACAACATCCTAAACAAATTGGCCTTCTTCCTTTCGTAAAATATTTGAAGAGAATAAAAATGCTAAATATTTCTTCCTTTCGTAAAATGTTAAATCAACAACATCCTAAGCAGAGAAAAGAAGAAAAAGTGCATAAAATATTCTTCGATTCTAACACAACACCTGTTACAGAGAAGAGAAGAAAAAATGCAGAAAAATATTTGAAGAGGAAGAAGATGAAGCAAATGGTAATTTTTTTTTGTATTTAGTCCTCCTTTAAATGACTCCAAAGCATTGATTCCATGTCTACAAAATATTAAAGAAAAGAAAAAGAAAATGTCATTCCATGTTAGCGTCGTTAGGCAACTCAACATTTTTTTTAATAAACTACTAACGTCAGGGACGAAAATCAACACAAACATGAGATATAAGGATTCACACTTGAATAAAAAAATATTTAGGGAATAAACGCAAAAATTCGCTAACTTACAGAGACCAGAACACTATTTAAGCCTTTTTTATCTTAATTTTAGATGTACTCACAAAACACATTCAAGGGTTAACATTGAGATCTATGTTTTTTTTGTAGATGATATGATATAGTTATACTTAAAGAGTCGAAGAGGGATTTAAATGAGATATTTGATACTTGGAGATGAGCTTTGGAAACACATGGTTTTTCTCTAATCAGAATTAAGACGGAGTATATGGAACGTAAGTTCATCAAAACAAGAAGTGTTTCTAACATAGAGATAAAAGTTGGATATCATATCATACCTCAATCACATGGTTAAAATACCTCGGATCCGTAATACAAAATAATGGAGAAATAAAAGGAGATATAAATCATTGAATTCAAGCAGGATGGTTGAAATGCAGAAGAGTTTCAAGGGTTTTATGTGATGTAAAAGTACCGCTCAAACTGAATGGAGAGTTTTATCGAACTACAGTAAGACCAACGATGTTGTATAAAACAGAATGTTGGCCAGTTAAAAATCAGTACGAGAATAAAGTAAGTGGAGCATAGATGAGAATGTTGTGTTGGATGTGCGATAAGACTAGACATGATAGGATTAAAAATGAAAATATTAGAGACAACGATGGGGTAACACCTATAGTAGAGAATATGGGGGAAAATAGACTTATGTGGTTTGGACATGTAAAGAGAATACCTGTAAATTCGGTGGTAATGTTAGCCTGTGATTTTTAGCTAAGTAAAAAGACAACAAATTGAATGTTCAAGCTACGTTGATTTGCTAAGTACCTAAAAGCTCAAGCACAAAGGTTCAACAAAATGGTTGTATTAACTTGTTGGTTCGACTAAGCTAGCTGCAAGTGGAGTCGAAGGCAAGAATGGTTTGGAGGAGTCTCAAGAATAGATCTGTAAGATTATGATCACTCTCTCTTCCGCACATGTTCAGTATGTTGAAAGATCACATGACAACCTTTCGACACGAAGTCGAAGTCGACACTTTTAAGTGTTAGAAACTTAGGATATTTCTAAGTCCTAAGACTAAGTGATTTGGAAATGCATCCACTTTTTGACAGAAGCAAGTAATGCCTTTGGAGACGATTATCACTAGTTATCACCACATTCTGGTTGGTTTTCAGCAGTTGCAAAAATGTGTGGGAAAGTTGGAACACAAAAGCCTAAGTAGTGGGATGTCTGTCATATTTATTGGGTTTAACGATTTCTTTTGTAATAGTATATAATGTAAGCTTATTCATTGTAATCAAAATCACAAATTTTGACTAATTTCTCTTTAGAACCAAACTACCCATGTCACAGAGCGGAACAATATCATATCTTAATTTTATCCCCCTTTTATTTTTTATCTTTCAATTTATCTTGCATTATTTTACATTTCATATCTTGCACTTTTAGGTCTAGGTCAATTTGAAATTAGGATCAAGTTGATCATGGCTATTCATTAGATTGCATAAATGCCACTTTTTCTAGCATAGTTCATCTGAGTCAAATAAAAAGTAACTAGAAGGACCACTATAAAATCCAACTCATTACATTTTGCATTTTTAGGTCATACTCAAATAACTGAAATGGTTTTCTTCATCATTTGTTTCAATCTCCATTTCATTTGTTTTTACATGATTCATGGGGTCCAATTAGCTAGTTAATAGATATTTCTATTTCAATTATATCCTCTCATCATCTTATAATTTAAAAGAAGACCATGTTCAACTCTTTCAAATTTTGCATATGGTTCAAATTTATTTTTTACCATTTACATGTCAAAAGCATCCATCAAAAGAAAAATAACAAAAAGAGACTTTAAATTAATTAGAGACTTTCATACAAATTTAAAAGTCACACATACACCACAACTTTTGTTTTTTGTCCATACATAATAGCAAGTTAATTTACATTACACATACATTAAATAATAAAGAGAAAATTTAAAAATAAATAAAAAAGAAAGAAAGAAAAAAGAGATGGTCAAGTTAGTTGGCACGAGTTCCTTACTTCCTTGCAACCAAGACTCGTCTCATTCACTATACTAGCATGCCATCATCGCA